GGCTCAAAAAAAAGGTAGATGCACATAGGTGAGCGTGTCCCCCCGTGCATAGGCGGTGTTTCCAGAAAAACAAGGGGAACAAGAAAACCAGGGATCCGTTTTATCTCTATGTTCAACCCCCTGTTCGAGAATGCCTTTTCAAGGAAAATGTATGAACAGGTATCGTTTTGAAGGTTGCACGAAGACAGCAGGCCAATGCGCTACCAGCTCCCGGCCCGGCGGTGGTGAAGCGTTTGGATCACGAAATCGAGGACACATGAAATGGCAGGTGAAGCACAATGAAGAAGCTTCTGAAAGTGGTTTATCCAGCTGAGCTTAGGGTCTTTTGGAAACCATGTAGGGTCTTTTGGCGATGTGTTTTTCTCAACATGTGTAGGAACTATGTTCTGATCAAAAGCGCTTGGCGGAAGCGTTCAGCGATCTGGCCATGCGCCTAAAGACTGCAGGCACGGGACTTAGCGGGAAGGGGAAAGCGTCATGGGGAGTTTTGGGTGTTCAGGCCTTGTTATTTATGATCCCTTTGGCTTCCTCAACCTGGATGAGCTGTTCAATCTGCACAGAACATACAAGTGTCCTGCAAGAAGTCAAGTGCACCTCTTAGGCCCAATGACCTTCACCAACCCCAAAGATGTGTGCCCTGCACAAAAGTACAGTACAGCAGTGGTATATATATTCCTTCCTCAGCGCGTCCCTGGGACGGCTGCGTTGTAGCCAGACGCTGCCGAGAGAGAGAGAGAGAAAGAGAGAGAGAGAGAAGGCAATCTATGCATCAGGACATATGTTTGGGGCCGATCGTACCTGTGACTGCTGTCGACATTCACCTGAGGCAAGAGCTTCGACAGCCTCCAGGAAGCTCGAGGATCGCTGGCTACAAATCACTCAGAGGAGGCCTATGCTTTGGACACGGCAGGCTGGCGTTGACTAAAGTTACATGGCACGGGTGTAATCATATATATATATGTGTGTGTGTGAACATTTGTGGAACAAGTGTTCCTGCCCATCAAACCCAACAGTTTGATGTCATGTTATGTCATGTTGCTTATGTGTTCACTGCTGCGCATTGAAACGTGAAAAGCCAGTTCGGTCAGATCCCTATCTTGAGTTCTTAGAGTGCAAATATGATCAAGCATCGACCTGTGCAGGCGCTGATGCACGAGACCTACTTCGCACCAGTGGCGAGGCCGAACGCACAGAACCTGCAGACATCCCGGCAAATGCAAATTGCATGTAGTGTGATCCCCAAATAGATAGCAACGGTGTCCAATACATATTTAGTGGCGATCTAGATGGGATCTACTTTTCTATCTATGAATGAGAACAGTTTAGAAGAGGGTCAGAACGTGCCAGAGTTTGAACGAGCTATCAGGCTCTCAGCACCCAGAACTGTACCGGGGACATGTTCTTTTGGCTGCCCTGAAATCTCAAGTCAAGTTGTAGCTTACCTGAGTATGCAACAGTAGATAGCAAGATGGCCTGCCTGACAGGTGGTGAGTGCCTTGCTTCGTGACCTACGAGATTTGTTCTACTTGGTCGATGGCTCCAACCTTCGTCCGCGGCTCCGGCCCCACCCATCATTGGGATCTGGGCAGATGGACGACAGGCTGAGATTTGGTATTACCTTGCCTGTCAAGACAGTCTAATCCAAACCACTATATTGTATATATATATAGAGAGAGAGAGTATTTTATCATGAAGTACATGGTCCATTTTGACTCCATTTTGACTCGCTAGAAGCCGGTTGGGCCGTTGATCTTTGACAAGGCCGATGTTGGAATCAAGCCCGAGCCGTGCATTTGGGACAGAACTGGGTTGAATGAGATGATTGGATTCAGACAATCTTGAACGATCCGTAGAAGCTGTTTGTAGCTTCTGAAGGGGAACGCGAATATGGAAAAGATGAGGAAGGAGGAGGTATGAGAGGGCGAGAGCATCTACAGAGATAGATTGTAACGCAGTGGGGGCATGCGTGACATTGCGTGCCTATCCTTCGATGAAGAATTTGTGACCAATGCCTTCAAGCAGTGCAAAGAGCGGTGAATGCTCAGCCTCTATGACCTGTACGATGTTGACGACCAGTTGTTGCAAAGATTGATGACCTCGAATGACATGCCGCAAGCTGGACTTTGCTGTGACAGGTGTCCGCATTTACGTGAGCCATGTACTAGCTGTTTTATCCCAAAGGGAGACAGTGGCTGATAGTCACTGATTGTCATATTGTCGCAACAGATCTGTCCCAACGGTTTTGCAAATAAAAGGCGCGGAGTGATGTATTTGAGCATCGATGCCGCTTTTGCTAGTTCCGTTTTGTTCTCAGTTGACTTGGAGGCCTCGATGAACAGTCCAGGCCAATGAAGCAGGCCAGACAGCTTGCAGCCTTCTGCGAAACGTGAGATGTAACTGCAAACAAATGCAAGATCACATGTGAAAGTATTTTTGCAGATTTGTGTCAGATTTGTGGTTCAGATTTGTGTCTTTGAAGCAGACGACACGCACGCGGTGGACAGACACGAACATTGTTATTTTTGGATTATATAAACCAGTTGCAGTTCAATGTTTTCCCTTTTCGTTCATCAGGCGCCAGCCTACAGCTTGAGAATCAAGCATCCACCTCCCAAGGCGCTTATGAATTATTAGACACCCTAGCTTTGGTGTTTGGACTCACAAGCGTTTCAATGCAAGCAAGAACCTTGATTTTGCAGTACGTTGAACGGAGAGTTTTGCCATGCTTGCGGAATCCCTCCTCTGTTGTGTCTTTTGTTGCTGCATGTATTTGTTCTAGGTCTGAACTGCACATCTCTAACCATTTGAGATTCCCAATCTGCAGGTTGACGAGTCAGCTGTTTTTGGCCCTGGTTATGACCCTGTGAAAGTCAAGGAGGACTTTCAGCAGTTGTGGATGTTCGGATTCATTCCGGTCGTTGTGTTTGCGATGCCTAGTGCCTAGATGTTCTGCCAGCTGCTCTTGAGCTATGGCTATGACTCTATGACCATTCTGGATTGCCCTCAGGACCTCAGGTGGATTAGCCATCACGTCAACAAACCGAAGCCTCGACCTTAAGCTTGGCTCCACAAGAGATTCAACCACAATATATACTGTACTATTTTTATAATGCACCTATAATTACAGCGCCGTGACACTTGTTTGCGCAGATTGAAGAGTGACTTCCTTCAATCTTCAAGACCGAGAATCTTTTGGGGGGCAGGCAGTTTCGATTTGAGGTGGACTTTCCCGAAGGAGGACGCGCGTGCCCAGAAGTTGTCCAATGAGAGGCGGCATTCAGAGCATCACTTGCACAGTTATTATTATCATTAATTGGCTGGGCTTCGTGGATGCTTCCCCTGTGGCTCATGTAGGAATTGGTGTTTGTCCCACACTGACGGATGGATGCAGAAGATTTGTGACTTTGTAGATGAGTAGATCCTGCTACCACTGCACTTGGCTTCTGAAAATCAACATCTACACCCTGTCAGTGGTTGCAGTTTGTTCGCCGAATCGTGTCCAGTGGCCCCATCAGGGGCCCTCATGGCCCTCATGTTCGTCGGTCAGCATGTCCTTCCACATCCATGTTGCCAAAGATATAGAACACCGAGGTTTGGCGTGCAGAGCACCAAAAAAAACGACCTTCTCCCGCCAAGCGTTTGGCGTTGCGCTTTGTGCACAGGCATGCACTGGAGGACAAAGTCAGCAGCCCGCCAGAGGTAGCGCAAAGTTTCCCTATTTAAGAATTTAAGAGGTTGACGACAGCTCATTTCAAGAGTTGCTTTCCAGTTTGCCTCGGTCGCATTTCTGTCATTTGTGTGGCTCAGTTTGCCTGAGCATACTTGGGATCGTGATAGAGTCATTGTTTTTCTTTATGATAAGATGTCGCGGACATGCAGGTGTGAATATACATGTATGGATACATGGATCATAGAATGGACAGTCATAGACCATAGACTCATAGATAATATATCGGTCTAAAGATAGATCTACGTTATGTGATGTATATAGTATATGCATGTGGCGGAAAAGTACGCACCTCATGCCTCATACCAACAGTTGTGGGTTCATTCTCTTGGAGTCATTTTTAAATGTTGGTTTTGGCAGGTGGGACCTGGCAAATACATCTATCCACCAGGCTGGACCAAGATCATTGACTAATTGCTTATGAGATTCACCATCCAGCTCCATTAGTTTGGAACTCTGTCCATTCCAAGTGCGTGACGTTCCCTCCAAGCATGAGCAAATTTGCTGGAGCTGCGCAATTTGCGCTTATGCTGTCAAGCATGGGCAGTGTGTCAAGATTTATTTGCTGGGGAAACAGGAAAAGGCATTGTGGATGCCCTCGGTAAGTGAACTTTGGGCTGTCAAGTTGAACAGTCGAGAATGTAAATGTAACTGTCAGGTTTTCACACGCAGTTCCCCTACGAGGTTGGGAAGCGAGTGCACGAGAGACTCTTGTCAGATCAATTCGAGTCAGGATGAGAAACATCGCCGATGCCATACATGAGCGTATGAAGCTCAGTAAACGACAGAAACTGACTCCATTCCATGCAGCAGTTACGGCCTCGCCGTCCAGGTGAGATGGCGTTGCGTTTCACCAGACTGAGGTGGAAAAAACCTGTGAAGACAAGAGAGTTGAAACCGTTCAGCTTGGAGAGTGATGCCACAAATTTTGGTGACCAGTGTTTCATTCATGGCCGCTTGTTCCGAGTCTTTGTGAACGCAAAAGTAGCACTTCCGCAGAAATATGAGTCCAGGCCAAACTCCTCCAATCAGGCAACTGCACCCATGGCAGAAACTGGCACATACTGCACACCCAAAGATCGAGAAAGGACCAATTTTGAAAGACACGGCGTTTTTCATGCAGAGACCTACTGCGTTAGAAAAGACAACTTCACGGTGCAAAAATTGCAGATAGGTCACCAGGTCCGAGACACTTGAAGAAATATGCAGTGTTTCACTGTAGCATACTGTAGCTATTCAATATTATTCAATTCACATTGGGAGGCTTGATTGTGCAAGTCTCGAGCTAGAAATGCTGACGCGATTGCAATTGCAATGGGTGCTTGCTGCACATTGGAAAGTGGTAAGGCCAAAACAAGCAATCACTGCACACTCTCATGGACATGTTTGTTTTATTTAGCACCGATGAATCCAAGACCGTAAGACCTTGCTACCTTAGATTGTGGCCCCACTTCTTTGCAGTGCAGCATAGGGTAAGATAATCAGTTGCCTGTTCCTATGAGTTTCTATCCTAGCAGTGGTCCTTACATTGCTAGTTGCAGACCGCCTTGCTTCCAATGCCCTTGACTCCCTCGACCGCAGTAGGTACTCAAGAGCACCCGTGGCCCCAACATGTCAGCTTATTCAGGCCTAGCTCCAGATGCGCGCGGGAATTCCAGCTGGTTCTTAACCAGAACGAACAAAGAGCATGAAGCAACAATGGAGCATCCTTTCATGAGGAGCATTTATGCAGAAACCTTTGACATTGAGGCGTACTGCCAGTACCTGGCCGGTCTCTACCACATTTTCAGCACACTGGAAAACCACTGTGCCGTTGCTGGGGCTCCTTTGTCCACTATGGATGACAAGGTGCTTCATCGGCGAGAAGCCCTGCAAAAGGATTTGGCCGTTTGGTGGGGCTCTGACTGGGAGACCAAAGCAAAGGTCTCCCCAGCCACGGCCCAATATTTGGAGCAACTCCAAAAGGACTCCACAGATCCGTGGTTCCTGCTTTGTCACCATTTTCTGCAATACAATGCGGTACTCAGTGGTGGCCAGTTCCTGGGCACCAAGGTGAGCAACCGAGCAAAACAGACTCCACCGACCGGTGTGGAATTCTATACCTTTGCCCTTCCGAAGGATCAATCGACTCACGCTCGTGTTCAATGTTACTTGGATGAACTGGACAAGCTTGACATTCCCAGTGAGTTGCGGGAGCGGATGCTGAATTGCATGCGCAAGATCTACCAGCTCATTCTCGCAACCTTTGATGAAGCCTACAATCTTTGTAAGGTGGACGGCGTGTCCTATGCTTCGGTCAAGGCCACCAAATCAGCCAAACCCAAAGTTCCACCGCCCATGCAGCCAGGAGACCGGAATTTCACCTCCAGCGAATTGGCATTGTTTGATGGCAGCGACCCAGCCAAGCCTCTTTTAACATCAGTTTTGGGGAGAATCTATGATGTCTCCAAGGGAAAGGATTCCTTCGGCCCCAGCGGGCCTTACGCTATGTTTGCCGGGCATGATGGTACCTACAACTTGGCAGTGATGAGCTTGAAGAAACAGACCGTGGACAAGTTTGAGTACGTTTTAGAGCAAGATGACAAGGAGTGCTTGGCTGATTGGATCGCATATTTTGACAACCACTACGGCAGGCCACTGGGCATCCTGCGTGACCGAACTCACGCCATTGCGCTGAAGGACTTGCCGCAAGCAACCAAAATCCCCTTCCAATCCCAGGAGAGTGAGGCACCTGCTAGCCGCTTGTGAGCAGTGGCTAGCCCCTTGCCACTTGTGGAGCTGCAGGAAAGGAAGTACTTAAAAAGTAGGACAGTAGGAGACGTTTGCTCAGATTTTCATCAGCGAGCCTGATCCAAACTGCGGACAGAAGCGTTGCAAAAAGCTGTGTGAACTGTTGAGGTTGTGCCGGCTCTTTTCGGAAACAAATAAGTTTGTCATTGAATCATGGCTGAGAGTTTGCCCTCATTTGCCCTAGATTATTCCTGTTCAAGAGCCAAGACGCATGTTTGCAGGCCGGCGTTTCCAAGCAACCTCGCCCAACGACACCCAAATCTGCCTGGGGCTTGTGAAGGAAGCTCCAGGTGCAGCCTTCGAGATGCGGGTCATGAAGATCAACCTTCCATCACGTGCCACGAGAAGAGTCGTGAATTGAGAATGTCAGCAAGCCGGATCAGGTATCGAATGTTGGGATAGCATGAGATTCGTGACTGGCTAGGTTGACAGTGGATTTAAACATATTCTGTGCTGGTTTAGCGTAGTTGCCGGGGTTACGGGGCTATTAAAACATCTTACAACGCAGGGGAAGTTTGGCCTTGGTGTGTGACAATGAGGCACGAAGAAAGAGTGATGTGCAGGTGGGCATCAGAGACATTCAGAGACCATGCAAATTCGGTGTGAAAAGCGTGATAGATAAGAATGCTGTGTTGAAAATAGCATAAAATAGCCGAATAGCTATTGTTTGGCAGACTTTGCGTTTCTAGTGGGAGCGTGCAGGTAGCGAGTACCACGCTTCATGATGCAGCATGGGAGGGCAACATCAACATGGTGAGGCAAGAGCTCGGACTTTGTTGGAAAGTTATCAGGAATGAATAAGCTGGTACTGGCCATCATGCTTCAAGATCCTAGACTACGTTGGTCTGAGACGCGTGTATTGATGCAACGCTGCAATGCCAGGATTTTCTTGAGTAAAGGTCACAGTCCAGATCTGCCAGATGAAGAAGGGTTTGCTCACTTAGAGTTGGAGGTCACACTTGAAGCACACACTGTCGAACATGATGTCCTCATGGAAGATTGTTCTTTGAGTAGTGATCCAAGAAAATTAAATTGAGCCGAGCGGCAGAACCAAGGTCAACTCCCTTGCACTTGTCGGGCCCTGAATTTGACGGCCCAGAGCCGGATTGCTGAGTTCGGGGAAAACCAGCAACAAAATGAAACAAAAAATGTTGTGCAAATTTACTGCTTTGTACTTGCCCTTATTTGGGGACAAAAAGGAAAGCAGGAACATTACCCCTTGCTGCTTGCTCGCCTCCGCTAAGGGGGTTGGCCCCCTCCATTTTGCCTATTGAGGAAGGGTATACATTCTTCGGGGAGGGTACAATAATGCAGCTATTGAGGATTATTGATGAGTGTAACTCACTTTTGTCTCCACCGATTTGTTTGACCTTTGCTGTCATTGTGGCTTGTCAAGGGCTTCGGAGGAGGGGCACATGCAAGTGGTGAAATGCCTTCTGGAAGGGAAGGCAGCTGGAGGGGAGATTCTCACATAGGGCACATGGCAAAGCTCACAATCGGGACCTGGCACTTGGTTTGCAGTTTCGAAGGCAACCTGCGCTGATGCAGCTGACAGTGATGGCGTGGGCGTGAATGTTGCAATTGCAAGAGAGAGCGGGGAGAGAACTTGCATTTAGGGATGTTGACTGACGGAGATTAGCCATTCATTGGGCACAACCTGTTTTTTTCTGCCTCTGCACAGTGCAGGGAACACCCCCCTGCTGCTGGCTGCGAAGGCCAGCACCTCCTGCTAGGTGCTGCTAAAAATATTCAAGCGTCGGTGCGAAAGTAGACATAGTACAGTAAAAGTGTGTAGTGTGAAGTGTACTTTGTGGATTGGTTGATGCTATGATCACGGTTTTGTAGGCTGGGCTTCACTGCACATGCACTCTTAACCTGGCGCAGGAAGGGCGGGATGAGGTCGTGGAATACTTCTTGACACAAGCCACTCTGCAACGGAGCTGCATGGTGGAAAGGGGCCGGCTATATGCCGTATATGTAATGTCCCTTGCAAGATCTTACAATATGCATTGTGCAGTACTACATGACGTGGAATCGCTGGTGCAGCGGGGGCAGGGTGGCAGCGGCTATACAACTTGCATAAGGAATCATAGGGTCCCTTTCTGTGTACCTGGTCCGGTGCCCAGCTTGTTGATCGTTCATCACACTCTGCAGCCCTGAAGTTGGTTGCACGAAACATGTCAAGCTCTCCCTGGCACGCCTTGGCCTCAAACTAGTTCATGAGCCCCAGGGCTCCACTTGTCCCACTTGCCGCGCTCACCCCACCCGCCCCACAGTCGCAACACCGGGGGGCGAGTGGGTTGAGCGAGTCAGGTGGGTCGGGTGGGGTCTTGTGATTTTGTGCAACATCAGTTTGAGCCCCTGCAATTCCACTCAGCATCGCTACAAGCATCCAATGTAAAGATGTGAGCCATACGTCACAACGCCCACAGACACAAGCCAAGAACGCAAAGACTGAGGATCACCAAACAAAGTTCAAAGTTGACTTGACACTGCCCACTCCATGCAGTGATGGAAGTCGCTACCTCGAATCCTAGAGGGCCGAGCGAAGTACAACGGACAAGCATGCGCCAGCTATGGCCGGCGATGACCTTGATGGTCGGTTGGAGCTTGTCCAAGGCGCTGGCGGGATGTGTGCATTAAGAAGACTTGTCGAAAGTCCAAGCTCGGTCTCAAGTTGGCCTGGGTCTAATAAGGCCCACAGTTCCGGCATAGGTATCAAAAAAAATAAAACGAGCATCAAACAAAAACAAAAATGTTATCAACATAAAAATAAAAAGCGAATCAAAAAAAACAATATTCCTTGATAGGCCTCTTTTGCTGCTCTCCTGGCCCTGTGTTCTGCTGGTCCTCTGGTAATAAGGTCCCTTGGTCCTTTGGTCCACTGGTCCCCTAGTCCTCCGGTCTCCTGGTCCTGTGGTCCGCTGGTCCCCTGGTATCCTGGTCCTTCTGTCTCCTGGTCCGCTGGTCTCTTGCTCTCCTACTCCGCTCGTCTTTCGGTCTCCTGGTCCCCTGCTTGCGCAAATAGAGACTTGATTGCTTTCTACTAGAGGCAGCTCCCTGGGAGGAAAGTAGGTACCCAATGATGGTAGCCGTCCAGTCATTGAGTAGCCCTACTCGAAAAATGGTTCACCAGTAGAAATAGCTCCCTACTAGGAAGGAGCTCCTAGGGAGGTACACTCTACTAGTCACCTACTCCTTCCATCCTCTTCCCTTGGTCTCCTAATCCTGCTACTGCTACTACTACTAGCCCAATCATCCTCAGTGGGCTAGAACTTTTGTTTGATCCCCTTTGTTTTTTGATTGATCCTCGTTGAATATTTTTTGATTCTATTTTTATTTTTGATCCCTTACCCCACAGTTCCACAGGTTGTTGTCATGTTTCCTTCACCATCGGGGCTTGGGAGGCAACATGAGGCAACAGCTTTTTGACCCACTGCCAATTGTTGTCATAGAATGCCGTAGACAATGAGTGATGGCATCTGGGGCAAGCGCAAGCTTGAGCATCTCATGTATATGAACATGTGTGTTAGGTCCAGCTTTTCGCGCTGAATCAAAAGTTCAGGAGGGGGAAGCGAGAGCTGTTGTTCCGTAGTGTCATACCACTGGTGGCGTTTGGATTCCCATTGGTTGAGAGGGTTTTGAGGGCATTTGGAGGCAGGCTGTGATCTACCGTGGCCGATGGAAGATCACGGACCGACTATTGAAGTTCAACTGTGAAAAGCTGGAACGAGGGGTGCTTTAGTGTTGCTAGGAAAGGCAGCTCGCACTTTTGCCTGCTGTCCTCCCCTTGTATCATTCCTTCAAGTGCCGCTGCTCTCTAAGCTATCAAAGTAGTCATGAGCAGCCAGTACATATGTTTTCTTACTATGACATGAACTTATGGTAACTACTCGGCTCAAGACAACTCACTCTCATGCTTCATTAAACTTTATTGCACCTGATTTGTTGTGTTTCTACTTGACGCACTGTTGCCCTTGGAGCGATTTGGAGCGAAGGATGAACTTCGAGCATCTTTCTTTGGGAATGGATCATGCAAAGAAGAATCGTTTGCTGGATGGTGAAGAGCTTTTGCGCCTGGACGCTTGCCATTGAGCCATGGAAGATTGGGGTGTTTGTGGGAAGGAACGCAATTTGTGTCACTCTATTTGTTATGCACCCGTTGCTACACTCCACTCCACGGTTGCCAAGGAAGAATTGAACCATGCAGCCCATGCGGCTAAACAAGACGGATTGGGAATAGATGATCCAGAGCAAGCTGTGCAGAAGAAAGATGAGGACCAGGACTGGCTCAGGTAGCGCGATAGCAAGCCGAACCATTGTTGTCGCCAGAGCCTCACAACAAACATATAAGCAGGCTTTCATTATGATTCAAGATGATTCAAGGAAAGCGTGATGTTTCTATTTTTTATATATAGAGGTGAAGCGAAAAAGGCATGTTCGCTCCGTCTCAAGCTCAAAGTGACTTCCAAAAGGATCTAAAAGGACTCAGTTTGCGCGACCATACCCTGTAGTGGCCATGGCAGAAGACATCGGGCATGAATGCGGTTTTGCGATGCTGCGGCTTTTGAAACCTCCTGAGTACTACCATGACAAGCACCTTGTATGGAACATTGCTGGCTGTTCAAGCCTTGTTCTACTGTAAGTGACATGTGGTAAGCATTCCCTGGACATGGTTAAGTTTAGCACTGTGACTGGGTTGGGTTTGTCAGGTATGGCACGCACTTCTTCGGTTTGAATCGCATGCATTTGCTCATGGAGAAGCAGCGAAATCGTGGACAAGACGGTGCAGGTGTGGCAAATGTGAAACTGGACATGGCTCCAGGCACAAAGTACATTCACTGTGAAAAGTCCATTGCAGCAGTTGCTTGGCTGTTTGGCACCACCCCTTGTTTGTTTATTGGTTTTTGTCACCGAGACAGGTGACATCCAAGTTGACCGGTTCACCGGGTGCTGTTTCGCGCTGAGGATCCCATTGGCGATTTGTTTGGCCGGGTTGAGAAGCATGCCACCGGGATGTTGCAGAAAGCTCCAAAGGATGCAAAGCTTCCTGGGAAAGATGGCAAGGACCATGTGGATCCCAGGTGGGTCAAGGACTGGTCTAGTGTCGCTAGTGTGAAGGGTTGGAGAATTGTTGGTTCTGCCAACCAAGCAAAATGTTTAAGAAGACTGCCAGGGATGGATACTGTACGTATAATTGTTTATATATATGTGTGTTCAACGGCCTCAGTCACAGTTTGGATGAGTCATCCAAACACCTTTCATGGTTCTCCAGAGGGAGGGAGGGGGGAGAGAGAGAGAGAGAGGCTCTAGAAGAAGGATAGTTTTCGGGATATTGTTACGGAGTGTTCTACACATGCACATAATTGCACATAGACCTGCACATCTGGCCAAGTTGGAACCTGGAAGTCTGTACATGCCTTCCCTGTTAGACGCATAGTGACCTAGTGCTGGAGAGGACAACATCCCTTTCTGTGGCGAGTCCTACTTGGCCCATGTCCGCTATGGGACAGACAGCGAGAACAGCCTTGATCGATGTCACCCTGTGACCCGGGAGAGCAACTGGATGACACGATGCTCAGCTAATGAAAACGTCCAACAGTACCACGGCTTGTTTGGAGGCTGATAATGTTGCTGTAGATAGCTGTAGCATAAAAGCCGTAAAGATGAGACCCCGAGGAAATCTGATTCTGGCGGGCAACTTCAACATCACCAACAATGAGGACCTTTTTGGCAGCTTGGTGCAGTTGGGCCAACACCCACGGGAGCTCTCGGACACCGTTACACTTTTGGAAAAGATCGGCCACTTTGTTGACAAGGAGAACAACGACCTCTATGTCAAGTATTCAGCAGCGGGTCACAGTCCTCAGACTTGTTTCAGCCTCATTGCTGAGAATATCAATATCGCACGGATCTTGAGACGGGCCTCAAGTCTTTGGGATGGTGGATATTGCATTGCAGGTCTGCTGGGGCATGGAGATTCTTTTGTGATGCGAGATCCTAGTGGTATCCGTCCAGCATTCTACTATGCCGATGATGAATTCATCGTGGTTTGCAGCGAGGCACCATTGATCCAGACGGTGTTCAATGTGAATGGGGACCATGTGCACCCACTGCCCCCCGGTCAAGCTCTTTGCATCAAAAGGAGTGGAGCTTGGACGTTGGATCAAATCTTGGTGCCTCGTCGGAAGAAGCAAGAAGGATATGTGTGAAGACATGGAGTACTGTGCCAGCGAGCTTTTTTCTCAACCCCATGCTCGTTCAATATACTTTCGCCGCCTTTTTACATTCTTTAATCTGTGCACTGTGCGCGTTGTGAAAAATTCTCCTTGCCGTGGCTGGCTCTCGAGCACACTTGTAGAACCAAAGCAGGGGTCACACACCCATCATCCGTCCCCGGGCCCTAGCTTGATTTCCGGTAATACTGCAGGTTTCCCAAGGACTTCTTCGCCCGAACCCACCACAGCCTACAGGAGCGTCGACATGTCCGAAACAAAAATGAAAGACATCAACAAACCAAACGTGTCGGCGCACGCCAGAAGATAAGATTGAAAGGTTGGGGGGCGTTGCACCTGGCTCGCACCGCTGTTTGTCACCCCTAGTGTCACCCCTGTTTTTCATACCAGGGTCACAGTCGGTCACAGTGGCTGGCCCCACTTAATTGCCGCTGTGATGGTGTTCGATGTTATGGACTTGCCGATGCCAGGAGCCCCGTTCGTAGCGTTCTTGTTCCTAGTAGCGATGCCCTTTGCTCCTAGTAGCTATTTGCTACTAGTAGCGATGCCCTTGCTACTAGTAGCTTCCAATTCGTGTCAAGGTGCCATTGCCTTTGAAGCAGTGCTCCTTCGAACGCATCTACTTCTCTCGTGGCAATGACGCTGGAGTGTACCGTGAGCGTGAAGAACTTGGAAGGCTGCTGCTACCACCGCTCTTGAAACTCCTCGGTGAAAATGGATTGTCATTGGCCAACACTGTGCCGCCTGGCAAAATCGTTTGATGTGTTGAGTTCCAGATGTCAAAACTGACCCTGCTGTTCGAATCAAGGCTATCCTTCATTCCCAACACCTCGGAACTGGCCTTCCTGGGCTTAGCAAAGCAGGCCCAGGACCACTTGGATTGCTGCTCGGCCGCGTTCAACAGCTGTGACACACAAAAAAGTACGCTGCGATCGGCGATGTTTGGTTTGTTCTTTTCAGAACCCGAGATTCGGGGGCGCTTATCCTGCGCCAAGGTCAGAAGGCAGCTCTTTTCCAAGCGCTGAAAACCAATGGCAGCACCCCAAAGCTTACGGATGCAGAGCTGCAGGAGCTGCTCACCGCCAAGGTGAGAACCGAGAAGGTGGTGCACAAAGACGCAAAGATCCGAACCTTCATCCAAGAGGACATGGAGGGCAGATGCTATGTTTGAGCTAGCACAAAGTACCTAACAAATTATGTACGAATGTTTCTTTTCAATCCGGACGATGTTTTTTGGTATTCAGCTGCAAGCATGTATATATATATATATATGAGTTGCTTAGCCGTTTGTCAAGGCACAATCAATCACTTGTTGCGAAAATCATGAAGCTGCAAAGCCTATTGGTGAGGACTCTTCCCGAGAGCACTTGACCATGCATGCCTACGACGTGCACTATGGCACAGTCAGGCGTGGTCAGGACGCCATCGTTGCACTGGATGACTCCATTGTCCGTGGGAACACGCTGAAGAATGCGATTTTGAGGACACTGGACAAGATGGGCCCAACCCAGATCGTTGTGGTCTCCAGTTGCCCACAGATTCGATTTCCGGATGTCTATGGCATTGATATGGCAAAGCTGGGGGACCTGGCAGCCTTCAAAGCAGCCATCGGACTGATGAAAGACAGAGGGATGGAGCACATTTTGGATCAAGTCTACAAGATGTGCCGGGAGGAGCTCAAGGCTCCTTTGAGGTCCGGACACATTGTGAATCATGTCCAGAGAATCTATGAGCCCTTCACTCCTGAAGAGATCTCTTTGCGCATTGCCAAGGATGTGAAGCCAAGTGATTGCAAGGCTGAAGTGCACGTGCTGTATCAGAGTGTGGAAGACTTGCACAAGGCTCTGCCAGACCACAGCGGAGACTGGTACTTCACTGGTGACTATCCTACACCCGGAGGAGCACGAGTGTGTTGCCGTGCTTTTGCACTATGGATGGAGGGGAGCACCCAGCGATGCTATGGCATTCATTCCGCCTTGTCCTTTCTCAAAGCTCGACGCCCAGCATTGGTTTTGGGCAGTGGTGGTCGCGAGCATGCTTTGGCCTGGAAACTTAGCAAGAGTGCAGAGGTCAGTGTGGTCTTTGTGGCACCGGGCAATGGTGGTATTGGCAATTCTTATGGTCAAGCAGAGCCATTCGATGCAGCACCCACCGTAAATGTGGATCTTCCAATCACTGGCCCAGATTTCACCGATGTCATCAGCTTTTGTCATCAACATGACGTGGGCCTGGTGGTGGTCGGTCCGGAGCAGATGCTGGCAGATGGTGTGGCTGACAAGCTGCGAGAAGAGGAAATCCCCGTTTTCGGGCCAAGCAAGACTGCCGCACAGATTGAGGCCTCCAAGTCCTTTGCCAAGGATTTCATGAAGCGTCACAAGATCCCCACTGCGGAATATCAGACATTCACCACTTTGGACGCTGCTCTCAAGTACATCGATTCAGTTCCCTTCGATGTGGTGGTCAAGGCCAGCGGCTTGGCAGCTGGGAAGGGTGTTGTGGTGCCCGAGAGCAAGGAAGAAGCGAAGCAAGCAGTTCGGGAGTGCAGCTTGGCTGATGTGTGATTTGGGGTAGTGTGTGTCTTGTCCTACCTTTGCCACAAGTCTTCGCACCGCTACTGTACATGGTGACTGCACCTTTAGAATATGATACTGTAACATTTGCTGAAATTCACTGTGTGTCCAGTCTCTTTGAACCCCTGCTCTCACTTGTTGCCCAGGCCTGGAGAAGAAAATCTTTGGTGAGGCCGGGCAAGAGGTAGTCATTGAGGAAAGGTGCCTTGGTCTTGGCAAACCAATTCAATATAGAGAGAGAGAGATTTAAAGTTACTATATATACTGCAACTGCTTTCTTCGGTGGCACGTGCTGCTTCATTTTCAGAAATTTCAGTGTTCACCCGTCGGCATCGCGTTGAAACAAGTCGGCATCGCTCCGTACCTGGAGACCACCTCGGCCCAGGCTCTTTGGCCCAGAGTGTTCTGTCTTGGCGCTGTGCGATGGGCACCGCATCGCAGTGCTGCCACCCGCGCAGGATCACAAACGTGCCTTTGA